ATGTACACAAATACACGTATTAATGATAAATATTCGTATGAAAGTAGGGTTTCGAGATAAATAGCATTGGAATACCTAGGCCACAGGCTTTGCGAAAGAATAAATGGATTAGGTGAGATGCTCAATAATATTTTAGATTCGATATAGGAAATAAAATAATCGAAACTCTTAAATAGAAGAAGTTTCACACATTTGTAGCTAGAACAAACGATCAACGAAAGAGGCAGATTGCAGAAGCTTCTCACCTAGGCGGAATAACATAACGAGGATATTCAGATTGGGCATTACGAGCTGGAAGAAGTGTAAGCGGAGTTAGTGTAGCTTGATGATCATCAGGTTCCAATGCGTCTAAAAAAAAGAATTCAACATAGTTAACTAAGGAGGTTAGAAAATAAGCCTAATAAATACCAATCGAAAATTACAAATATATTATAAAATCTAAGACCGTACGTATGAATATCAAGATAGCATGTTTTCAGGTTTGGTCAGTCTCCTTTAACGGCATAGAACTAGTATGACCCAGCTTCGCAATCTGATTGAGGTCGCAAGAAGACCCTCTACTATAGTAGCCATGATAACCCTAAGCATCATATCATCAACTTAGTACATTCCCAGACGACATCATAATCAGCAAGGCTGCTGAAAGACATCAGCCTTAGCTCTTTGAGTTGTAATTTGATACTAAAGATGGGGCCACTTAATGACGATGCCAGATACGACGACCGAGGATGCAGCAATTCAACGGTCCAATGCTGTAAATTATCATGGCTACTATGGCAAAGGACATTCTATAGTCTTTCAGTCACCTCGACCAAGATTCGAAAAAGGAAGGACCATTATGGGGCGTTTGGCAATAGGAAAAGAGTAATTAATTAACTAAGACTTACTAAGTAGAGGGATAATATCAGCGCCTTGAAGACGCATGAATTCAGGATGCAATTTAAGGGGATTGCAACAGCGCTGGCACAGATGCACTAAGCCACTGACAAGGTTATCTTCCTCTTTATCCACACAAGAGGCATTAAGAGGACCGGATTTTACAGAGTTCGAGGAAATTTGAGACTTCATGATGATTGAGGCCCTAGACAAGGGGTATAGAAAACATATTCATATAGTCCAGTCAAACGGAAACTTGAAAACTAAGTCCTATAAAAGAAAGAGATTGAACAGAAAATAGTGGACATTAAAAGCTGTACTTGGGTATTTTACATTGCGGCCTCAAACAGTAAGAATAAGGAAACAAATTCGCTACATAAATTAACTTAGAAAACTAAAATATAGATCGTAAATATGAAGACCAAAATGGTGTGGCCTTCTGCTTGGACGCTCCGACCATGTTGCGAAAACGAGGCCGAACCAACACTAAAATATAGATGTTACATAAAGAATAAATTAAGGATTAACCTAGCAGCAATGGATTACAGATCATAAGCAAGTTGAAGTTGAAATTGAGGCATGTTTCAGGAGACACAACATCAATGTATGAGAGAAAAATAGTTTTTAAAAGTGCATTTCACAGATATTGTAGTCGTGAGATTCTCAGTTAATATGATACAGTTTCTGCTTCAAATATACTGGTGCAGAAACTATCAGTCGCATTTTGTCTGATAGCTCATCCTATATCAATCTAAGATGAATACGGGGGACTGTATTTCTCCAAGTGATTGCTTATTCAGACTAATGAAAGTAGTCATCATTTAATTCAAAAGTTATTTCTTCATTATTTGCATAGTTTCTAGTTGCTGACAATCACATTATAAAGCAAAAGCTAAGACTAATAGTACACTATTAAAGCCTGTTTGAGTTGAATGGAAATAATGTAAGAAAATCAAAGAGGTTTTGAATATCAAGTAAATAAAAGTAATTAATAAGCCGGAAGTTAAAAGCCAATGTCCTTTTATTAGTAAGTATTGTTTAATAATCAATGAACTTGATGCAAAGTACAACTAATTTTATGGTAGATGGTGTGACCTTGGTTTGGTAGCATAATATACACTTAATTTAACCAAACCTGCTTCGACCTACGAGACCTTTAACCTTACGTCAAATGGGTGTTCTAATTAAAAGTGTTAATAATGACTCCAGTAAAAATTAATACAAACATTTTTAAAATTAAAAATTAATATGCCTAAATTATCAAGATTCGTGTAAAAGATCTAATATGTAAACATTAATAGTCTCAAGAGGCCATTTATATGAAGAAAAATACAAGGTTACCTCCGATTTATGCTGGCATACATCTCATTTCTTTTGAAAAGGTGAGTGGATTGTATTTGTAAATTTGTCCCATAGGATACCGAAGGAGAATTGCCTTAAACTTATGACAGTTAGATTGGGCATAAGAGATCTCGACTCAGTCCCGTGACCACGTT